ATTGCAGAGAAGCTGAATAAATTATTTTCATCTCCCTTCCCTGCAGAGGATTCAGTTCAGATACCTATATCAGAACCAAGGCAAATAGTGGTGATAAAAGATGAAGTACTCAACCTTAATGATAAAATGAAAGTCAATACATTGATGGGCCCAACAGAATCCATCCTAGAAAGCACTCAAATATGAAATTACTGGCCTTCTAACAAAATTTTGTTAGAATGCAATATTTCCATGTGCCAGAGGACTGGAGAATGGCAAATGTAATGCCAATTTTTAGCAAAGGGATAAGCAGGAGGATCCAAGTAATTGATGATCTGGAATCTGGCTGATTAATGTGTGTTCTGGGTAAATTGTTTGAGAGCATTATTAAGGATAAAATTAGTTTTATTTATCAGATTTCTATCTCACCTCATTAGCTAGGAATTAAGGGCAAGCTCAAATGAGAATGAAGCTAACCTGTCTCGCTAACCTTTTAGGGTCCTTAGAGTTGCCCTTAGAGTTCTAGATTCTGGCTATGGCCATGGCTATGGATCCAGTAGGCCTTGCTGGCTTGGTCTTCCAAAAGGCTTCCAATGAAGTCCCTTACAAAGACGCCTGGGCAACTCAGCAACTATGGAATAAGATCTGGGGTCCTCTTATGGATCAGTTAACAAACAGAAAACAGAATAAGAATAAATAGCAATTTCTCCCAGAAGAGGTATAGAAACAGGAAACTGTATTAGGACCAATGCTTTTCAACTTATTCATAAATGATCTGGAATTAGGAGTGAGCAGTGAAGTGACCGAGTTCATTGATTACACCCAACTATTTTGGGTGGTTAAAACCAAAAGCAATGAGATACTCCAAAGGGAGTGTTTCCCCAAGCAGGGAGAATGGGCATCAAAAAGGCCAAGGCATTTCAGTGCAAGCCTATGTAAAGTAGTGCAGGTTGAGAGCAAAAGCGATAGCTTCAAATTTAAGCCCATGTAGTCTGCGCTAGTGTTGGCTGAGCCAAGAAGAGATCTTTGGGTAGTTGCAGAGAACTTAATGAGAATGTCAGCCCAGGGCACAACTGCTGTGAAAAAGCCAAACTCCATGTTAGGCATAATTAGGAAAGACCGAAAATAACACTGCCAATATTAAACCCCTCCCCCCTATACAAATGTTTAGAACACTTAGAATATCATGCACAGCTGTGATTGCTGCACCTGAAAAAGTTATATTGTTGAGTTGGAAAAATGCAGTAAAGGACAACTAAAAGGGTCTGGAACATTCTGCCCATATGGAAGTGTTGCCTTAGAATGGGGAATTCTAAACACAGGATGCTGGCCCATATGGCTTTTTTCCTGGAACATAATAATCAGTCGAAAAACCTGAGGATATTTTCGACAGTGCGCCCATGGCACAACAGAGGGCAACATGTGCACGATGGTTGCTTGCAGCTTTCCTTTTTTGTAAGGTTCAAACTGGCAAGCTGTACCGGAGCTCAGGGATGGTGCCTAGCACTTTTTCCCACAGTGGTCCAGAAGCTGCTGAGAACAATGCAGTGATCACAGTAAGAGCCCCACTGGCTCAGACCACAACCGGCCCTATGGCCCAGCATACTGTTTCCAGCCATAGCCAGCTAAGATGCTCTGCAAGCAGGGCACAAATTTGCCTCTTAGTTAGCCCCAGGGTCTGAGATTCAGAGCTAGACTGCTTTTGAACATGGAGGTTTCATTCAGCCAGCGCAGCTTGTGATCCAAAGTCTGAAGCAGGGGCACAGGACCTCTTTCATCCCAAGGGCTGGATTCCATTCTAGTGAAGCTCCAGGGAGCAGCATCACAGTAGTGAGCAGAGCTGAAGGCAGAGAGACTCACAGCCTATCGCTGCTTAAAGCTCACACTACCTACAACTAAGGGTCTCAGGAGAGACATTTCACCCTTTAGAGTGGAGAAATGCTGCTTAAAAGCTGGAGAGTCACCAAAAAGCCATGCTAGGTCCATTGGTGGCTGCATGGAAGTGCACAGCTCAGCAAAAAAAGAGAAGGGAAATTTTAAAACTGGAAAGTCCCCAAGTTGACACACACACACACACACACACACACACACACACACACACGGTGCCTGAGCCCTCTACCCTGGAAGGTAGGTGAGGTGGAAATACAATCATCCTGACAAAATATATTTTGAGATAGTCTTCACTTATTCAGGGCCAGCCCTACCGTTAGACAGAACAAGACAATCGTCCTGGGTGCAGATGCTGGGGAACTCTGCTGGAAGCCGTCTGAACTCCCTGGCAGTTTCCCTCTGAGGACAGAACTGCGTATGCCGCACAGTCTGTCCTGCTTCCCCTAAACGAGCCTGCAGCCCCAGGAGTTCTGGTGTGCACAAACCCATTGCCAAAGCGCAAGTAAGGTGCAGCTGCTGGCCCTGCTGTCTTCTGTACGTAGGAAGGGGAAAGCCAGGCATCTCGCTCTTCACCTCAGGCAGCCCTGGGACCATCAAGGTCCTTCCTTGGATGAACTGGTCCCAGCACTCCTTGGGAAGTTTGAAAAGCATGAATGCCCAACTCCTGTCCATTTTCCCTAATGCATTTTGATTGCAAGTTGCATAAAATTAGTACAGAAACCATAAAGAAAATTTGGGGGGGGGGCACACAAAAATAGTTTCCATTACCATATTTTTCACTCTGTAAGACGCACTATTTTCCCCCTCAAAAGTAAGGGGAAATGTCTGTGCGTCTTATAGAGCGAATGTGTGTGTGCCCGATGCCCGGGACACTGCTGGCCGCCTGCACCCCGTGGCACCACCTGGCCGGCATGCGCTCGGTGCACGCTGCCCCACACCCCCCCCAGCGCAGGTGAGAACTGTGCCGCTCAGGGGGAGCGATGCGGAGGAGGAGGAGCCGTGGGCTTTAACCCGCTGGCCGCACGGACAGACGGACTGCTCACCTCCACCAGCTGGGAAGACCTGCTGCCGCTGTGCTGCCCAGAAGACCACCGCCAGCCCCGTCGGCCCGGCTGCACCACACCTGGCCGGCACGAGCTCGAGCTCGGCATGCCCTGCTCCGCCCCCCTCCTCCAGCGCAGGTGAGAGCTGTTAATCACAGGTCGGTGTGTGTTTTCAAATGGCAACCCGTCTTTTAATGAAGCCCATGGGGAAGTGATGGGGAATGTGCCTGTGATTATCAGGAAGCTTTCCATGGATCCCTCCTCTAAAAATTAGGTGCATCTTATGGTCAGGTGCGTCTTATAGAGCGAAAAATACAGTATATAAAGTTTGAATATACCATTGCAATGAATACATGGCTGTGTGTAGTATAAAGGTGTATTGCTATCGATTTAAGTCATTATGCATAAGCTTCAATGAAGACAAATCTGATATCCAGGGTGGGTATGGATAGATGCATTCAAAAATCACCCATTCAGAAGCTGAAAGTAAGATAATTATGTCCTCAATCCACTGTGTTTTAGTGGTCAAAGGGGCATGGAAAATCCAGAAAAGTTGCTCAGGTCCCAAATCCCAAAAGTGGGTAAATAGTTAAGAAGAAACTTCCCTTAAAAGAAAGAAAAGATGGGAGAAGCAGGGACTTCTGAGTTCCAGCATATTGCACTGCAGCATGCACACTTCAGCCACGCCGGGACAGTGGTTGCTGGCCAGGACTAGAGCCAAGGAAATCCAGGTTCAGATCTCCATCCAGCCATGCACCCCCTAGGCAGCTATTTCGCACCCTGATTTACTTCATGGCACCCTGTGTGAGGGCTGAAAAAAGTGGGATACAAATGTTATAATAAACATGCGGTGTGGCAGGATCTGGGCAACTCTAGCTCGCCATCTGGTGGCCAGACCTGGAACAGTCACCATAGTGATTGCAGGATTGGGGCCAAGCCCTTGCTCAAGCACCACCTGGTACTCATCACCTCCTGATGAGTGCCAGCTGGGAGAAGAGCTACATAAGGCACTCCTCCCTTGCATGCCTGTTTGCCAGTTGGAGAGTGCTTCAGCTCCTGCATCTTGCCTGATCCTTGTGGGCCTGGTTCCTGCCCTGCTGTTTCCTGCCTCGCCTGGTTTTGCTGCCCCTGCACCCTGCCGGGTTTGCCCTGCCCTGATTGTGGCTGCAGTCCCTCCTCTGCCTGGCTGCCCTTGCTGTGGACTGGTGTCTCAGCTGTGACCCTGCCTTTACCTTGCTCCTGTTCCTGTCTTTGGCTCACTTCTTGCCTCTGCCTCTGAGCCAGAGACTAAACTCTGGGCCCCCCTCCACGTGTGAGTCCTGATCTAGATTGGCAGTGAGGGGAAAGGATGTACAGCTGCTTTAAAGAAAAAAGAAAAATATGCAGCTGCTACACAACTAAAGCAATGTGAAGAGCACAGTGTCGGAATTGCCGCTCCTCGCGTGGCTCATCCCCATCATCCAAGCCCTTCCTGCAGCGGCTTCCCCCTAACCCGATGCTCAGAAGGTGGCAACCAGGGCAGGGCATTCTTAGTGCCCCCCCACCCCGCATGTGGAATGATCTCCCTGAACCAGGCCCACCTGGCACCACTCTGGTTGCCGGTGCCTGGGTGAAGCCTCTTTCCTTCTTCACTCTGTCCTTTTGTAGCATATGCTGCAGCGTCTCAGCAGGCCTCGCTTGCATCTGTTGCAGGTTCAGACGTTTGTGCTTATCTGGTTGGCGAAGCACCCAGGGAACTCGAGCCACGGAGCGGCGGCGCGACGGGGTTCGTGCCACGGAGCGAGCTCCTTGCTTTGGCTCCCGGGGATGCCGGCCAGGCTTCGCGGAGAAGCCGCGCGGGCCTGGGTCCTGCGCGGGCCGCCGGAGCGGAGGGCGCGGCGAGGCGGGTGGAGGCGGCTCTCCTCTCGCCGCCCTGGTCCCTCTTCGCTCCCCGAGAGCTCGCGCCACCACCGGAAACCCGCTGTGTGTGTGTGTGTGCGCGCGCGCGCGCGCGCGCGCGCGCGGCGGGCGCTGCCGGGCGGGCGGGCGGCGCAGCAGCCTCCGGAGCAGCGGCGCGGGAGCGGGACTGCCCACTGCCTTGCAGCTGCGCTTCCGAGACCTCTTTCGCCATCCCTTGGAAAGTTTCCGAACTCCTCTTGTGTCCCCCAAGCGGCATGTTCGATCCGCTGACTTTGGCTGCCGCCTCCGGGGAAGCAAGCCCGGGAGAGGATGGAGTAACCCCGGGGGCGTTCGGAGCGCCGGGGGCGAGCCTTAAATAGGAATCTGCGAGGGAAGCAGCGGGACCTTTTTGTGCGGGGCGGGGAGAGAGAGAGAGAGAGAGAGACTCATCTTTACATTTTGGCCCGGGCAGACGCGTCGCCCTGCTCCTTCCTCCCCCAGCATGGAAGATGTGAGTAATGTTACCGCTGCGAAGGGGTTGACAAGGAGGCAGCTTCAAAGGCATTGCCTTTCTAAGCGAGATGGAATTGGGGGGGGGGAATATACTGAGGAAGTGCATCTTCCTCAGATCATTTCAAGGGTTAAGTTTCCAGTCCTCTGGGTTGGCCGCTTCTTGCTTGTTTCACGGACTGTCCCAAAAGTTGTGCCTGTCCTTTACTTTCCTGACCGGAGCTTGCTTTTCAAGCTACACAAAGTTGTTAAGTTTCATAACGAAGTGAAGGAGGAAAGTTTTTGAAGCGCTTTATTTGAGGCGGGGAGCTGGGGGAAGCCGATGGAAGGCAAAGGTTGTGAGGGGAATCTCTGCCTACTCCGCCCTCCCTTCCTGCCAAGATTGCTGCAGAAGTGAAACAGTGGGAGCTCTCAAAACGGCCTGGACGGAAGCCTTTTAAAGGGTTGTTTTCCTATTGGCATGGGATGGTTTTTGGCCAGGAAAACCGAAGGGGGAGAAAAAAGCATAGCCTGTTTTCTTGATGGACGTTGAGGCTGGTAAATAAAGAGAACGGGGTGGAGAACTGAGCTTGCTTCAGAGCAAGGTTTTCTCTTTCGAAAACCTTTCAGGGTGGTGAGCAGTCAAGAGGCTAATAAAGTTGCTGACTTGTTTTTACTGGCCCTGCTTTGGTACCTTCCAGGGTAGCTTGGCACCCCAAAATGTTAGCAGGTAGACCTTTTGCTGGCATGGATAGCAGGTGTTTGGGGGAGGGGGGACCTTGCTGGTTTAATTCCTAAGCACAAACGTTGTTAATGGCGGTGGAGAGGGGCCAGTTAAAAAAAAAAAAAGGCTGCAGTACAGATGAACACGAAAGGCAGTTGGTGCAAGCAATAATTGCATTGGCCCAGTAGCATGATAAGGAATAGCAGTGGCGACCGTGTGTGTGCATTGGGCTTGTATTCTGAAGGCTGAAGGAGGGGAGGTGCTTGCCAGGCAGAAGTGGGGCTAGCAAGGAGGCTGTGAATAAGACGGTGCCCCTTTTATCGTGGACAGTGAGACACCCCTCCTGCAAACGACAGACTTGCTTAGTGGGTGTGGGGAAGGCTGCGGGGCACTTCCTTGGCTCTTCTGAGGCCTTGCTGCCACCGCTCAGCATTTGCCACCTGAGCCTCCTCATGGTAGGCCAGTCCTAGAGCAGGACTCTTCAGGCTTTTCTGACCCACCTTTTGCATTGCTTTGTGACCCACTCTAATAGCTTGACAGATGGGAACCGTGTGCCTTGGCAATCCCACCCTGGACCCAGAAAGAAACTGGAGTTCATAGACTGCAACATTTAGCCAATTAACTGTTTGCCTGTATATGCCAATTAGGAAAGCTTTGCTTGAGTTAAACCAACCCTTGCAGCTTACAAGCATCTTTTCGGAAGAGGCATTCCAAAGCTAGTGCCTGGGAAATGCTCCTAGGCTTGCTCTGAGTTGTCATCTCAAAACAGGAAGATGCATCTTTTCTCTTCAGAACCAACGTATTGGCCTTGCATGTAAAATTGTAGAGTTTCCAATTAGGTGAATTCCTTACAATTATGTTTAGGTGTAATTTGATAGATGTTTAGACTTCTAGTGCCATGCTGTTGACATTGAGTGGTGGATCTCCAGGGCTGCAGTCTGACTTTTTCAGCTCTACCTGGAGATGCCAGGGACTGAGTTTGGAACCTTCTGCATGCTCTGCCACACACTGGCCACCATGGTGGCCTGCATGGCCAGTCACAAGGCAAATGGGCAAGCAGCTTTATTGTTTGTCCTCACCCAAGAATGGTGGGGCAAAGCAGACATGAGCTCCGAAGTCCAAAATGCAAAGCCAATCTTTGTTGAACCCAAATGGAAATGGCCCCAGAAGGTCAGAAGGCCTGCTACCATCCCCTGCTCTCAGAAATTAACAATCTGCAGAAATAAAAAGTCAGGAGGGGCACTGATCCTGGTAAGCGCCAAGATAGGTGTCTGCTGTGCACGTGGAGTTTAAAGTCCCAAGAGGGCATGCTGCTCTCATGTTCAGACAGAAAGGACTCCTACAATATAGTGGCTGGAGAATGGGGAGCGTTACAGGGATTTTGAGGGCTCACTGATCTGGTGATAGCAGTAGTGATTCTGTGCGCTTCTAGGCAGAAGGCCCGGGTGCCACCTGTTTCATCCAGAACAGCTTTTTCCCATGAAGCAAGTGGTGGGAGACATGGAAAGGTTCTGCATGGAAGGCAATGAAATCTGGGCAGTGTTGCTTTGCATGTTCAGGGCAAGGTGGGTGCAGGACACAAACCTCACCTAGAAGTACTCTGCAAAACACCAACTCTTGTTCATTTGTGGATTAATTCAGTGCTCCCCAACTTTTTCAATCTTCACCATCTAGAGGCAATTCACAGCTGGATCACTGACTAGTTCAGTTGTAATGTAATTTGTTCAAAGGTTTCTGTGAAGCAAACAGAACGATCGTGTATCGCGGATTGCCTCTTGCTGTACGAAAATGTACTGCAGCAATATGATACTCATGATAAACCAAGAACTGAGAGGGAGCCCTGCTTTCGAGCACTGCTTTTCACGGCTTCTGTGCAAGAATTTTTGTTTTGTTTTTTCACTAGGAAGCTGCTTTTCCAAAGGACAGGCAGTAGTTAGAGTGCTGGACTGGCCCAGAAGATCAGGACTCAAGTCCCCTCTTGGCCATGAAGCTCCTTGGGAGACTTTGGGCCAAGTGTTGACTCTCAGCTTAACAACCTCACAAAGTTGTTGTTGTCACAAAGAGGGCAAGAGGGAGAAAGAGGACCGTGCAAGTTGCTTTGGGTTCCTTGCAAGAAGACAGAGTGGGGTATAAATAATGCATTGTTTATTGTCACCAGTAACTCTTTGCAAAATGTAGCCATTGAGCCTTCCCAGCATGGATGCCTAGTCCTGAATCCTGCTGTAGATAAGCTGCCTCTACCCTAGGGTGAACCAATATCCCCCTCCCTTGCCCTTAGCATTTACATAGATCTATCAGGACCAGTCTGTGGCTTCTTTCTCCCGCTTTTTCTTTTGTCTTTTCAGACACAACTTCTGGTTGCTTTTGCCAGCACACACAGCCTCCACCAATTCTGCCGGTGTGATTTTGCTTCGGCATCCGTAAGCCGCATTCTCTCCACCAATGGCCCATCCCTGTAGCAATGCTCTAAAAGTGGCTTTGATGGAGGCTTCAGCTGCTCTGTCCACTCGCATTAATAGGAAGTAAAGAGGAAACAGGAAGTAGCTCTCACTGCTTTATAAGGGCATGTCAGTGGAAGCCAGTTTCAAACCTGTTGAAATTTCTTGGCTTACCATTCAGAACACAAAGAATAAGGGTCCCCTGTGTTCTCCTGCTCTCCATGACATCCCGGGAATTGCCGTACCTGGACCTGGTCTAAGGATCTTGGGCAGCACCTTCCCAGATTCTTTGAGGGAAGTCATGATGGTGAAGCCTCTGAAGCCAGCCTAACTCCCAGTGCAAATGTTTCTGTCTCCTTGATCTGCCTTGCTTCTTATTTATTTACACTATGGATTGGAAGGGGCTCTCCAAGTTCTCATATGGGGGGCGGGATTCCCCAGCCATACCTGGAGATGGCCGCAGACCATTCATTCTACCTTGGGCTACCTTAATACATCGTGCAATGCAAATCAATTATCCCTTTAAACATACGGTTGCTTGCAGGGCAGCTGGAGGAGTGACACAAGGATAGATTTTCCTGTACTGTCCATTCTACTGCATGTGTTTAGGGGAAGCAAGTGTTTGTGTTAGTCATGGTGATGAGCCTGGAATTGAAGTCTCTTAATTTTCCTCAATTACCTCACTGTACAAACCTATCGCATCTATCACTCTGTGGCTTGAACTTGTTGGATCCCGCGAATTTAAGGAGAACAAAATTGCCTGTCTGAATCAGACCACCTCCCTTAACATTTCAGCTGGTTTCAGACAGCATGATCATCCAGTTGTAAGGGTTCAGTATGGATTGTCATTGAACTGTGGATTGCTGTTGGAACATGGGTTCTTGTGTTGTCTGAACCCTCCTGAGATGATAAACCATGGCAAACAATACATTTGCTACCCAGCAGTAAACCATGGGTTCTCCTCCTGGACTGTTCATGTTGAACAAGCCATGGCTTGTTGATGTGACCAGGTTCAGGCTGTACGATAACCGGTGTTTCATTAACAACCCACAATCAACGCTTGAAGAGTGGGTTATCATGATGCCTGCAGCCCCTGTTGCTAACATTTATCAGGCACATGCTGCAGGGAAGTTTACAAGTGGCTCCTAGCGGCAGGATCCCTCCACTGTTGTTGGCTTCCAGCATCTGGTATGTAAAGATGTATTGCTTCACAGCCAAAAGGATACACTGACTCCCACTGCTAATAACCACCGAAATTCAGGATTCATGGAAGAAAGATCTAATTCATTTAAGAACTGGTCTAAGGCTACAGCCATCCCTGATTCTCCTTATTTCCTCTCTTCCTCCCTCTATGCCCTTACCTACCCCTCAGCTCAAATGATGAGTGTCTATGCCAAATATTGCTATTTTGATTACATTATGCAGTTTCATTAGGTTAAAACCTAATTTTCCACAATGATTTGAAGTAGCCAAAAATGACAAAGATGCTTGTTAATAGTATCATGTGATTTTGCAATATTGCTTCTTGTCAATGTACAGTTATTGTGCAAACTCTTTTGGAAAGTACTGGAAGGCATGTGTGCCTACAACTTGGAAACCCTCTGAAGCTCAGTGGGAGCACAGCGACAAAGTCCCCTTTCCTTACCTGTTGGGAAAGGGGTAGGATCCTGGCAGCCTCAGTGCTCCATTAGCAATAGAAGCCAGATGAAATTTGTGGGTGCTTTCCTCAGTCCACTGCTGGAATTCCTGACCGGCAGGATGGAATGAGAACGTATTTATCCGGAGTGGTTAAATTCTAGACACTTACCTTTTCAGAATGCGTGATGTGTGGGTTCTTTCATCTGCATTCAAAGAGAAAGT